TATGCATGTAAGTGCACCCGTATCATGCAATGCCTGCGGAGGTCAGGAGAGGCTGTCGGATCCCCTGGGACTGGCGTCACGGACAGTTGTTAGCTGCCATGTGGGTGCTGGGATTTGAACCTGGGTCTTCTGCAAGAACAACCTGTGTTCTTAACCACTGAGCCATCTCCCCAGTCCCTATTTATTTATTTTTATGTGTCTTTTGCCTTCATATATATAAGTGCACCCATGTCATGCGATGCCCATGGAGGCCAGGAGAAGGCATTGGATCCCCTGGAAATGCAATTACAGACCTGTGAGCTGCTACATGGGTATTGGGAACCAAACGAGGGTCCTCTGCAAGAGTAGACAGTGCTCTTAGCTGCTGAGCCTCTCTCCAGTGCCCTCTGCTGAGCTTTTCAATGGTGATATACTATCCAAATAATCCCCCTCACAGCTAATCTAGCTCCTCCTCCATGCTGCCTCCTGTTCTCTTGAGTTCCCTCTATGATGAAGGGTCGCTGTATAAACCACTGGTTTCCATCCAGTTTGGTTTATATGCACTCAAGCACTTATGAAGTCCCCAGCAGTTTCCAAGTCCTGTTTCAATCATAAAGTTTTCCTTAGGGCTGCCAGCACCACTCAGTGGTAAAGTGTGTGCGTAACATGTTTGGCCAATTACCAAAGAGAAATGTTTAAAAGTAACCAATTATTAGCCGGGTGTGCTGATGCATGCCTTTGATTCCAGCACTTGGGAAGCAGAGGCAGGTGGATCTCTGTGAGTTCAAGACCAGCTTGGTCCACATAGTGAGTTCCAGGCCAGCTGGGGCTACAGGGAGACCCTGTCTCAAAAAAGACCAAAAAAAAAATAATAATAATAATAAAAAATAAAAAAAAATTGTCTACCTCTACCAATTTAGTTCACCCATGTCTACACACATTCTTGACCACTTATTTCTACTTGGTGTCCCACCATCCATGACTTTGTACCTGACCCCTAGTGTGTCAATACACCCATTGCATTTCTGCAACAGGCTGGCCCGTACATCAATTGTTCTCTGGTTTGAAAAGCTCGCTCTTCCACTCTGTGTGACTTGTCACTCAATCTTATTCAAGTTTTTCTCAGGGAAAAAAAAAAAAAAGGCTCCTTGACTGTGTTATGGACCACACACACACACACACACACACACACACACACACACACACACACAAACCTACTGTTCTCTGTCTTCCTAGAATACATATTATAGCCTGACATATGCATGGAGACCTGCCCAATCATCAACATATGACATACACCATCATGACCCCAGAAAGAGTCTATCACTTCATGACGTCGAAGCTTAATACATGTATCTGTGATGTGTTCATACAAAACTAACAGTGCATTTCTGGAAAGGTATCTGTCATCAGGGGACATATGACTGTGTCTGTTGGTGTTCCCTGCTGGTCTTCCCCACTGACAGAAGTGCCTGGACGGTACCACCTTTGTTCACCATTACATCCCTGGCAACCAGAGCAGTGTCCAGAGTCCCCAAAACTTGAGTTGTACTGTTCTGTAACAGATATACAGATGCAGCTCTGTGCCAACAGTTCTCCCAAACTTCAGGAGAAAGTTAGGTACATGAGGCCACACAGCCTTGATGCCATTAACGGGATAAAGGGTTATGAGAGTGCAGATGTGTGCGCCACACTGTGGCAGGGTTCGAATGTGGCTGGCACGTCTACTATGATTTATTACTATGTTCTTTTTGAGACAGAATCTCCCTGGATTATTATTATTATTGTTAGTATTATTGCTATTTATTAGTTTCTTTTCGAGACAGTGTCTCCCTGTAGCCCCAGCTGGCCTGGAACTCACTTTGTAGACCAGGCTGGCCTTGATCTCATAGAGACCCGCCTGCCTCTGCCTCCCGAACTGGTATCAAAGGCGAGCGCCACCTCGCTTCCGCAGGCTGCCCGTTCTACGGAAGTCCGCAAGGTCGCTGGGTCTCCGTGACCCGAGGGCAGGCGGGGTTCCACCGGAGACGCTGGGAGGAAACGACTTACGGGGCCTTTCGGTGACCCAGGCCTTCCGGAGAGGTCGCGCCCGGCAGGCAGGTGCACCAAGTCCCACAGCTAGCACCCCGCCCACCGCGGCGAGTTCCGACGGATCCCAGGCGCCTAGCGCCCGGCGGAAGTGGGCCGTTCGTCCCTGTGGGTCGGCGGGTCTATTTCCGGTGGCCGGTGTGTAGTGGACTGGTTCCGGGTGGACCCCGTGCGGAGGCTGTTCACATGGGCCGGGCCGAGGCTGAGCGGCTTCCCGACCCCTCGCAGACCCGGCGTCAGAATTTCCCCCTCAAAGGTCAGGGCTCGCCCACAGGTTGCCGGCCTGACCTTTCGGGGATTTGGGGGTTCGGGGGCCTCCCCAGAGCGCGCCCCGCAGCCTCTGCTGGATGCTGAACCCGTTTGTCAGCCCTGCAGAGTTGGCGCTGAGGCAGGGGGACAGCCGCGAGTTCCAGTCCAGCCTGAGCATGTTAACTTCCCACTACACGTGGAATTCACAGTTCTCGTTCACAGTCTCTTCGGATGACTTTGACGTGTATAAAGCATTTGTCTATAGTGATATAAATATAGATAGATCTACAGCTGGGTGTGGCACATTTTAATCCCAACACTCAGGAGGCAGAGGCAGGTGGATCTCTGTGAGTTCAAGGCCAGCTGGGGCTACTGGGAGACCCTGTCTCAAAAAAACAAAAAAAAATGAAATAAAGCTGTCAAATGGTATCAGGTGGAATCAAGGTAATACTTAAGTATACTTGTTAAGTACCAGGGACCTGATTCAGCAAGGACCAGGGTGGGAAGGTCTTAGGCCTTTACAAGGCTAGGGGGACACAGACAGTAAGAATTTTTAGCTTGTACTTCCCACAATGCATTAAGACTTGTCAAATGTTGAGTATAAAAGGTCGTGGATAGGATGGGGCTGTTCTGCCTGGAAATAAGGGGTTCAACCCAGAGGTGAAGTGATCTCCATTGCCAGTATTAAAGCAAGATGTTTTGGTAAATGGTTGGAATTTTTGGCTTTATTCTATGAATGTGTGGTGAGAAATATGTATGCAGTGTCAGTGAGTGTTACTGGTACTAAGACCAACAGCGTGTATGTATGGTGGGTAGAGTGTGAAATCTGACCTCTGACCATCCCAGTTTGACCAGGACTGCAGGATCTTTACAGTCATTTCCTTCTCTTGGATCTCCCATCTTCGTATCTGTAATACCGAAATAATGTCACTATCAGGTACCTCTCCCATGACTCTGACAAAATACCTGACAGGAAGCAATTTAAGGAAGGAAGGGTTTATGCTGGGAGAGAGAGAGGAAAGAGAGAGTGAGAGAGAGAGAGGAGGAGGAGAGGAGAGCAGAGGAGAGAGAGGAGAGAGAGAGGAGGAGAGGAGAGAAAGAGGAGAGGAGAGGGAGAGGAGAGGGAGAGAGAAAGGAGAGGAGAGAGAGGAGAGGAGAGGGGAGAGAGAGGAGGAGAGGAGAGAGAAGAGAGAGAGGAGGAGAGAGAGAAAGAAGAGGAGAGGAGAGAGAGGAGGAGGAGAGGACAGGAGAGGAGAGAGAGAGAAAGAGAGAGAGAGAGACTTATGCCTATGGAATTACACTATCCACATTTAGAGTGATTTTTCCACCTCAACCTAATCCTTCACAGACGTGGCTAGAGGCTTGTTTCCATGGTGATGCTAGATCCTGTCAAATTGACATTAATCATTACAGATACCTTCCAGAGGCAATATATAATGTCTGAAGTGAATAAATGAGAAGGCAATATTAGCATTCTGGTTAAAAATACTGACCTAATTGCCAGAGATTTGAGACAGCGTCTCCCTGTAGCTCCAGCTGGCCTGGAACTTGCTATGTAGACCAGGCTGGCCTTGAACACAGAGAGATCTACTTGCCTCTGTTCCTCAAGTGCTAGAATTAAAGATTCTTTTTTTTAACTTTTACAAAAACTTGAGAATTTCATACATGTATATAAGGTGTTTTGATCAAATCCATGCCTACTCCCTTCTCTCCAACATTCCCTCCTCTGAAGAGGTAACCCTAAAATCTTTTAAGGATTAGATACACGCTCCCAAATACTTTTGGCATTTTTGGCCTTTGGAACAGATTAAGTGGCTAGCAGGCTCAAGGACATTTTTGGTTTTAGCCTCGAATTTGCCATGTAGCCAAGGATAACCTCTCAGGAGCTGGGGTTGCAGGTGCGGGTCACTGAGCACGCTCTTAGTTCCCGCTCTAGCCCCGGCTGGTCTCGAACTCCCGCAGCCGGTTCAGCCTCCACCTAGAGCCCAGCAGCCTGCAGAGCGGGTCTGCGCAGCCGCAGTATTGCCCGAGTGCTGCGCGCCCCCCGCCCTGCCCGACGCCGTCGGAGGTGGGCCCAGCCGGATGTGACGCAGCGCGACGCGGCAGCGCAGCGAGTTTGCGCAGTGCGGCGGCTTCGCGCCTGCGCACTGGGGTCTGTCGGCTGGACCGGGCCTTGCGCGGCGGTGCTGCGGGACAGGCCGAGTTCCGCGTGGGCAGAGGAGGTGCGGGTGCAGGTCGGCGCCGGGGAGTGCCGGAGGGGCGGAGGAACCCGGGGAGGAGCGGGGGGAGGAGGGAGGGGGTCGTCACGACCCCGCAACCGCCGGCAAGTTCTGCACCAGGTGCCTGTGACCTGTCTTTGTCGGAGGCGTTTATTAGTCCTAACGCCTGGACGGAAGCCGTGCAGGAAAAATAGGCGAAAAGCGCTTCTGAGTCAGTGTGTGCAGCGCAAGGGTCGTGTGCAGAGAAAAACCTGACAGGGTTGACCTGGCCACGGGGTTTCCGTCGGCCCTAATCATTAACGGTGTGGTCAGAGATTTTACACTGTTTAACATCCCTCACCCCGGCGTGAATTTCTAACAGTTATTGGAACCAGCAAAAAAAAAAAAAAAAAAAATCACCTCCAGAATTTACAAATTGGCACTTTATATTTAATTTTTTTTTCTGTGAAATTCAGTTTTAAAAAAAGCCGGGCGTGGTGGCGCACGCCTTTAATCCCAGCACTCGGGAGACAGAGGCAGGCGGATCTCTGTGAGTTCAAGGCCCTCCTGGTTTACATAGTTCCAGGCCAGCTGGGGCTACAGGGAAACCCTGTCTCAAAAAGACCACCCCCCCCAAAAAAAAAGCCCACAGTACTTTGTGAAAGACACCGTCTGCCCTTAGTGTATGCTGATATGCAAGACCCAGTATGTGTTTTAGAAAACTTGAAAAACTGGATTTAAGGAAGCATAGAAAACCCTTGTGCGCAACTTGTGTTTCAGAATTAAAGCAGCTGAAACTCCGATATGAACCAGTATTAACCTAAAATGGTTTACATTTACCCGCCCTTTTCTCTAGGAGAAACTTAACTCTGCTTGAAAAGGTTCTTAAAAGATTTTGGATATGGCAAGGTTCTTGTTGGAAGCTCTTGACTTTTTTTTTTTTTTTTTTTTTTAAGGTCTTCAAGAAATCTAACAGAAATGGCTTCAAAAAGAGCTCTGGTCATACTGGCCAAAGGAGCAGAGGAGATGGAGACCGTTATTCCTGTGGATGTCATGAGGCGAGCTGGGGTGAGTCCCGTGTGTTGGTGAACTCTCCATGTTTTAAAATCTGGGGATTTCCAGTCATTTTAAATAAAACAAAGTACTTCATGAAACACTTAAAAAAAATTTTTTTTTAATGTGTGTAAGCCTGCATGCATGGTGTGCATGTGGAAGTCAGAGGACATAACTTGAGGTGTGGGTTCTCCTCTCCCCCCATGTGGGTCCCAGGGATCCATCTCATGTCAGGCAGGTGCCTTTGCCCAGAGAGTCATCTGATGGTCTTCTTCATGAAGTATTTGAAGTACAAAGCCATGCTTTGGGGTTTTTTTTGGTTTTGTTTTTCTTTTTATTGAGATAGGGCTTCACCCTCTAGATCAGGCTGACGTGGAACTTAGGGTGTAGCTCAGGGTGGCCTGGGACACTCCATCCTTCTGCCTGTGTCTCTCAGATGCCTGGCTCACTGCTGACTTTGAAACTTGTTAGCATTTTGCCTTATTTCTTCCAGCCCCTTTCTACCCTTTTTTCTTTGTGGTTACTGTGGGACAGGGTCTCACTGTGTAGCCCTGGCTGGCCTGGAACTCGCTCTATAGACCAAGCTGGCCTCAGACTTACAGGGTTACACCTGCCTCTGCCATCCAGAGACAGGATGTCCTTATGTTTCCCTGCTGGCCCTAAACTCCTGGGCTCATGCAGTCCTGCCTCGGCTTACTAAGTAGCCGGGACAGCAGGCATGTGCCAGAAGTCAGACTAGGACCTGTTTCTTAAAGAGTAAGTGCTGGCCGGGTGAGGTGGTGCTCGCCTTTAATCCCAGTACTGGGGAGGCAGAGGCAGGCGGATCTCAAGGCCAGCCTGGTCTACATAGTGAGTTCCAGGACAGCTGGGGCTACAAGGAGACCCTATCTCAAAAAGACCAAAAAAAAAAAAAAAGAGTAAATACTTTACAGCGTGAAATGTACTTGAAGTCCCCTTTGTGGTGACTGTCCCTAGACGCCCTCCCCTAGACGACTGTCCTCACGGTGACATGTGCTCATCCTGTGCTTAACCTGTGGTTCTCCTGTGTGTTTATACACAGCATCTGTCTGTACCTAACAGAATGTACATTAAAACGCACTGTTTGCCAGAGCTTATTCTAAGCATTCGCTTATATAAACCTTGACAACAATTTTGAGTTGGAGATCTCTACCCTCCTTTCACAAGACCAAAAGAGACACTAAACAGTGTGTTGCATTTTTCTTTTTAATTTTATGTGTGAGTGTATTGCCTGCATGTGTATAAGTACACCTGTGTCATGCAGTGACTGAGGAGGTCAGAAGAGGGTGTCAGATCCTGTGGAACTGGAGTTCTGGTTTTTAGCTGCCATGTGGGTGCTAGGAATGAACTCATGTCCTCTGCAAGAGCAGTCAGTGCTCTCAACCATTCCCAGTGTGCTCAATTTACAGTTTATAGATAAAGAGCACAACTCAGACCCAGGCAGTCTGTTTATACTCAATTCTCAACAACAAAACTCCAGTTTATTCATTAAATATCCCTGCTTAGTCATCAGGTGTATGAACATGTCACCGCCTCTCCCTTCTAAGTATAGCTCTGCAGCACTGTAACATATTCTTGTGTGGGTTTATTCCTGCAGATGTGGGGAGGCTTTCTCAGGCTCTGTACCTAAAAGCCCAGTTACCAGCCCCAAGGACACTGGCTGTCACCAGCATCCCCAGGCTTTACCAGGCTGCTTTCTATTGTGCTGACCTGTTGTCATACCAGCAGTAGAGGAAAACCCCCATGTTGCTAGACCCAGCCGTGGATATGGCCAGGTTGTGCATTTTTTGCAGGATAAAGTGGTGTTTAATCGTTGTGACTTGCATTTATTTCTACCTTAGGAAAATACCATGGGGTTTAAATGGAACCTGGAAAGGTGGGTTATTAATAGGATGATCCTGTGATTTCTCTCCCAAACCCATTACTTGAGAGAAGAGGGTGATCTGGCCAGGCATAGCTGGGACAGCAGCTATAAATTGCAAGCAGACCAGGAGAGACCTAGTTATTAACTATATTTGGCTAGCGTGGTCACTAAACGTCAGCTTGGTTTTGTTGTGGTGTTCCCTACAAGTTACTTAGAATCAGAGTGGCTTTGAAAATGCATTTGTGTTTCAGTGTTCTTGAATACCTGTTCTATCTCTAGATTAAAGTCACCGTCGCAGGATTGGCTGGGAAAGACCCTGTGCAGTGCAGCCGTGATGTGGTCATTTGTCCTGATGCCAGTCTTGAAGATGCAAAAAAGCAGGTTTGTTCTCCGCTCGTGAATGTCTTCCTGCTTGGGGCTTTTTTATTAGTTTCTCAGAATGTTATTTGACTACATCTAAGACTGTCGTTAGAACAGACTTAGTTTGTTGGTTGATTTTTGTTTTTCTTTATTGAGACAAGGCCTCCCTGTAGCCCCAGCTGGCCTGGAACTCATAATGTAGACCAGGCTGGCCTTGATTTCACAGGGATAGATCTTCCTGCCTCTACCTCCCGAGTACTGGGATTAAAGGAATGCGCCATACCAGGCCAAGAACAGTCTTATTCTGAGAGAATTATTCTGCTTGGTAGTGCTCACCCTAATCTGGAAGGAGAGGGCTTTGCTTTTCTGCTCTGTGCCCATATGAGTACCCATAAACTTGCCAATAACTGGACACCGCCCCGGTCCAGTGGGTACGTGGTGAGGGTGGTGCTCAGGTGGTGGGCCAAAGGGGAGCATTGCTCTGTCGTGTTTCTCCTTCCCAAGGCCTCTTTGCCTCCTGTGGTTAATAGCTCCTGTGCGCCCCACCATCCTTTTTTCAGTACAGATCATCAAACCTAGGGCCTTGGGCATGCTGGGCAAGTGCTCTACCACTGACCTATATCCCCAACCCTTTTAAAAAAACACTTAGGGACGGAAAGATGGCTCAGCAGTTAAGAGTGCTTGCTGTTCTTGCAGAGGCACCCACACGGTGGCTGATACCCATCCAGTTCCAGGAAATCTGACTCCCTTCCCACCTCTATAGGCATTGTGTGTGTGTACGCGTGCACACACACACACAGAGGCAAAACACTCATATTCATAAAAATAAATCTTTTTTAAATAAATTGTTTTTAGACAGGGTGTTGCAAGTTGCACTTGCTTTGTAGCCCAAGGAGGCCTTGAACTTGTGATCTTTCCATCTCGGCCTCCTCAGTAGCTGGGATGACGGGCCTGGCTCTCTTTCATTTTCTGAAGCTACTTTTCGCCTTTTACAGTGACAGATGTCCTTGCAGGATTCCTTTTACGTGGAATAAAAAACTGATGAGTGGTTGGATTAAGGGAGTGGTAAGAGTTCTACCTAAATTGTGTCACTGCTTCAGTATCTTTGAAATGACGATACTTTTTGGTTAATTTTGGGTCCCTTTCATCAGAAAAGTGCTCACTGACCCTTGTGCGTGTACTGTCACAGGTCAGGTGTCATGGGCCAGGGTGATCAGAGGTGGGCTGTGTCCTGTAGAACAGAGACATGGTAGGGAAGGAGGTAAAGGCTGGTTGTGAATGACTGTTTGTGTCCTGCCTGATCTGCAGCGCAAGTTCCCATGCTGAGCTGTCTTGTGTGCAGAAGCACGTGTATTCCTGTCTAATAAATTTCAACATTTCATTGCTGGATTGTGAAGAGTTAGACTATTTGTATTTACATATAAATTCTTGGGCTTTCTAAGTGTATTCAGGGGAAGAAGTAGAGTATTCCTTTTTTGCTACTTTTTTAGTCCTGTGGTATCTGGGCATTTAGACCAGTGGCTGCCTTTGGGTTGTGTTTCTTTGATTCATATCCTAGAGGGGTAAGAGATTGGGGTGTGCTCAGTGGTACAGCATTTGCCTGGCATGTGTGAGGCTAGATTCCGTGCCTAGCACTGCAAAGATCAAATAAATAAGTAAATGGCAAATGTTGTTTTCCTTCTTTTAAATTTCAACAAGCTTGAAATTAATTGGGTTTCTAGGATGTTTGGGTGTTGAGGATACTAGAATATTGTCATTTTCCTCTTCCTATTTTTCGTAAAGTTCCTTTTTTTTTTTTTTTTTTTTGTCTTTTAGCATTTTTCTTTTAGTTTTTATTTATTTATTTATTGGTCTTTTTGAGACAGGGTCTCCCTGTAGTCCCAGCTGGCCTGGCACTTCTGTGTAGACCAGGCTGGCCTCGATCTCACAGAGATCCACTTGCCTCCCAAGTGCTGGGGTTAAAGGTGTGTGCCACTGTGCCTGGCTTCCTTTAGTATTTGAAATCACTGCATACACTCTTGTGGAAGAACAAGACCCATGGTAGCGAGTTCAGAGCTAAAGTCAGAGTGGTACCCACCCTTTCTGCCGGCTGGTCCCACACATGCTCTGATGCTCCCCGCCAGAGGCTGGGGTGTCTGTGAGCATCTGCTTACACATGTGTGTGTGATGTTTATGCATTTGCATTCATACTTCTATATACTTTGTCTTTGTGTGCGCGTGTGCTGGGATCGAGATACGGCACCTGGGCACGAGGCACCACGCCTGGTATGTTTCTCCTTTCACTCAAGTGCAGTTGCCCTAACCTGCTCTGAGGGCATCCTTCCGTGTTGCTGTTTATAGATGGTCTGCATTTTTTAAATTTATTATGTGCATAAATGTGTGAATGAATGTCGTGGGGTGTGTGTGTGTGTGTGTGTGTGTGTGTGTGTGTGTGTGTCCCACCAAAGCCAGAAGAAGGTGTTGGGTCTCCTGGAGCTGTAGTATAAGGTGGTTGTGAGCCCCCCAGTGTGGGTGCTGGGAATGGCACTTGGGTCCTCTGGAAGAGAAGCAGGTGCTCTTAACCACTGAACCATCCCTCCAGACCTCTGTTCTGCATTTTCTGGTTACAGCATTGCACAGTAATTAGAGGGGGTGGGTCTTGGGGTTTTTTTGTTTGTTTGTTTTGATTTTTGAGACATGGTACCATGTATGCCTGGCTGGCCACAAACTCACTATGTAGCTGAGGGTGGCCTTGGAGCCGTGATCCTCCTGCATCCATTTCCCAATGTTGGGATTACAGGCATGTGTCCTCATGCCTGGCACTGATTTATTTCTTCTTTTTGATGGCTTTATGCCTGAACAGAGCACCTTCCATCGTGAGCTGTGCCCTGACTGTTCTTTGGGGGATGCTGGGGTCATTCCCTGTGTTTTGCTTGTGTCCCTCTTCCATGTATGAAGCTGTTAACGGGCTGCCACTAACACACAGTTGAATGAAATGTTCTTTATTTTTCAAATTCACAGGGACCATATGATGTGGTGGTTCTGCCTGGAGGAAATCTGGGGGCACAGAATTTATCTGAGGTAAAAAAAAAAAAAAAAAAAGAAAATGTTCCGTTACACTTCAGTCAAGGGGCAGGGGGCTTGTGAAGAAAGCCTTTGAGCCTTTGCTTTGTTGAGTCGGGTATTCGGGTGTTTCAGAGATGATGCCATGAATAAAGAGAAACAGCAGAAGTAAGCTAAACGGCATCCAGCTGTATTGCAGAGCCCAGTTCTCAGAGCATTTACTGCAGAAGTAAGTGGTGTTGGTGTAACAGACAGCTTCAGTGACTGGTGTAAGATCACAAACTTCCTGCAGCAGTGGCATGGCCCTATTTTGGGTTAAGCCTAGGGAGTGCTGCCTACTCTGTGGTCTGGGTGAGGGCAGCTGCCGGCCGGGGCACCAGCGTGAATGCAAGAGGGCATCAGAGGTGGCCACTGGGCTTCGTTTCAAGCCCTGTGTGAGGAGTCTGTCAGGAAAGGATACCGGTGGTGGGTTGTGGGCAGGCGGTGGGATCATTCCTGCTGGGATCTTTTCTCCATCTGCCCCCGTAGCCCTTGCCTCGCCCTCCTGGCACACAGAACAGGGTTGTGCCCTACTGACACTGGTGCTTCCTCTTGTCTTTGTCATGGATGGCTGCCTTGTTCTTGGCTTCGCTGCTTAGGACTAGACACTGAAGCTAGCCATGTACAGTTACTGATTGGAGCTCTTTTTGGAGAATCCATCCAAGTAAGCTAAGCCATAAGTGACCCTCCAGTCTGTCCTGCGAGAGGCTGGTCCGTGGCTTTGTGGTAACTGTTTGGGCCTTGTCTCCCTAGTCTGGTCTGGTGAAGGAGATCCTGAAGGAGCAGGAGAGCAGGAAGGGCCTCATCGCCGCCATCTGTGCAGGTGAGTGAGGTAGTGGGGAGAGGCATGAGGCCGGCTTGCGGGGCCAGCCTTCTCCAGAAAGTCACTGCACGCCCTGCCCTCAGAAGCTGAAGGGCACGGCACTGAGGTGTTTGGATTGGGTGGGTGAAGTTGTATCATATCAGCACTGAGCCTGGTTGTTAAGCTTTCTGCCTCTCCATGCCCCGACTCTGCAGACTGTGACACTGTTATTTGGTTGACCTCGAGGGAAAATAAGGCCTTGGAATTCAGTAAACAGCTGTTTCAGCAGATCTGTGCCAGGAGTAACCCTGCCAGGAGAGTCAGCAGGAATCTGCCCGACACGAACGCTTCAGCTCTGCCCTGGACTGGCCTCCCTGCAGTTTGCTGAGGCTTCATTTGTTGAATGCTCTTGAACACTGATTATGATCTGTCTCATAAGACAAGGCCTTTTGGTGCTTCGTGGATGTCCCACATCCTTAGAACTTACTGATGTTTTGTTCTCTGACACTCGCGGTCTGTTCCCGTTGCTTTAACACCGGGTGTTGTTTGGCATTAGTGCAACTTCACCCATGTCGTCGTTAGAGGATTTTTTTTTTTTGAGACGGCATTTCCCCGTAACCACAGCTGGCCTGGATTCACTGTGGACAGCAGGGTGTGGCCTTGAACTCACAGAGATCTGCCTGCCTCTGCCTTCCAAGTGCCTGGACATGCACCACCATGCCCAGCTGTTAGAGGCTTTTTAGGAGAGATGGCTCAGTGATTAAGAACACTGGTTGTTCTTGCAGAAGACCTGGGTTCAAATCCCAGCACCCACATGGCAGCAAACAACTGTCCGTAACTCCAGTTCCAGGGGATCTGATGGTCTTTTCTGTCCTCCATGGGCATTGCCTGACACGGGTGCCCTTACCTACATGCTTTGCAATACACTCATGCACATAAAATAAAAATAAATAAAATATTTTTAAAAAGTATCACAGGAACAGATGAGGCAGGGAGTAAATGGGTGGGTTTGTTCAGTGCCACAGGCTTCTTAACACAGTGGTGGCCAGGGATGCCTGTCCTAGCTCTGGTGCCAGGTTTCCTCCCCAGGGTCAAAGTGGATACTGCAGGGAGGTGTGTGGCTGTTTGCGCCTGCTCCTCACCAGACCATGGAGGTGGTCCTTCAGGCAGGGCGTTGTGCTGTATTTGCCCGTTTTAAAATCTGTTTTGAGCTGGGTGTGGTAGTGCCACGTGTGACCCCAGCATAGGGAGGGTGGAAGGAAAATCACCCAGATCCACCTGGGGTACATGGTGAGACCCTGCCTTTTAAAACTGTTTAAGAATTCAGTTTGGGGCTAGCATGCGTGAAGCCCTGGGTTCCATTTCTAGCACCAAAAGCAAGCAAGCAAGACCATGTCTAATCCCTGACACGGCAGAAGGAGATAGACCTCACCCACGCAGAAGCTCAGAGACCCCAGGCCTGCAGAGCTGGCTCACACCCTGGCCGTCTATCCTCAGGAGTTCCCAGTCCTGTCTTCTTTCCCTGCCAGGGATGAGGGATTTCTCTTGGCTGACAGCCTTGCAGTCTCTGCAGCCCGTGCCCTGTCCCCTCTGTGGGCAAGAAGTCGTAGGTACCGTTGGCCTGATGTCCTTTGCTGATCTAGGCCAACTTGGGTTTGTTGCGGTGACTCTGCTGAGAGTAAAATCCCGTGTCATCTCATCCTCCTGTGTCACTGACTAGAACATTACCATTTGTACCCAGCTCACTGTCTTACACCGAAGTGAGCTTGAATACCATGCCAGGAGCCTGGATAAGTCAACTTTAAGAGAAGCAGTGCCAGCAGTGTGTGCTGATCACACTGACTCCCTGTGCCACCATCCTGGGATGACGGGAGGAGTGAAGTGGGAATTCAGGTGTGAGCCCAGGGCACGGGATTGGAACAGGGTGACAGGAGAGATCTGCGCTCTGATCAGCAGGACAGCAGCCAGTCTTCTGGTCTCCTGGCCTTCTGGCGTCGTACTGATAGTGTTAACTTAGCCTCTGAAGATGTTGAATGAAGACGGTCACCTGAAGGGAGGCTTTCCTGGAAGGGTCTAAAAGGAGAGTTCCTCTGGGGGGACAAGGAGGAAGCTTGGCAGTGGAGTCATGTCAGGTTGTCTGGGGCTGGGTCTAGGACCAGTCACCAGAAACCAGAGCCCCAGGGAGCTGGGAGGTGACTAGGTGGTCTTTGCGAGTTTCTACCAGGTGGTGCTGTGGGAAGAGTGTTCTGCCAGCTGTCGTCAGCTGGCTCTGTAATTCCCGGGGCAGAGCTGGCGTTTCCTCCATCAGAACGTGAGTGATAGCAGTAAATGATCTCTCTTGCCTAATTTTTTCTTTACGTTCCTTTTTTTTTCTTTTGGTCTTTTTGAGACGGGGTTGCCCTGTAGCCCCAGCCAGCCTGGAACTCAATGGAGAGCCGCCTGCCTTGGCCTCTCAAGTGCTGGGACTAAAGATGTGCGCCACCATGCCTGGCCCTCTAGTCTAATTATCTAAATGGGGCTTTTGAGCCCCAGTAAGCAGCATTTAGGAGCGTGCCGTGGTGAGCAAGGAAAGCCACACACCCTGTGTTCGAGAACAGCATCACCACCTCCAAGAGTGCAGTCGGAACCCCGGCATAGCTGCTGTCCTTCCCTGAGGTCAGCCGTCGTAGCTTGCTGCCAAGTAGAGGCTGGTACAGGGATCTCAGTTTGGATCTTACCAGACTCGAGAGCATCAAATCCACTCAAGTAAAAGTGGAGTGGTGGTCACTCCTTTACAGACTTTGAAATTTGTTCCCGCACAGCTGTCTATACTTAGAGTAGACGTGGGGTGGAGGGGGTGATGTGTTTGAGACTTGGACTTAAGAGGTAAATCTCAGCTTGGTCTGAATCTGGCACCTGGTGTTGGCAGAAGGCGTATATAATCGGTACTCTGTGTGCTCTTCTGTTGTGGCACCGTGGTCGGTCTGAGTGGCCTGTAGGCCTCTAACTGCTGGTTGCTAGGACTCGTGTAGGACGGTGGAAGGCAGAGTGAGTTCACAGACAGCACTGCAGTCGGGTGCTGTTTAGTTGGTGTGACCCAAAGATGTTTGTGCATGTAACTTAGAGGGAAATGTGCAGTAAAACTAGGTTTTTTGTTGTTTTTGTTTTGTTTTGTTTTTTCTTTTTGAGGTGGGGGTCTTCCTGTAGCCCCAGCTGTCCTGGAACTTGCTATGTAGACCAGGCTGGCCTCAAAACTCACAGAGATCCGCCTGTCTCTGCCTCCTGAGTGCTGGGATTAAAGGCATGCACCACCATGCCTGGCCTTGTTTTTTTTGTCTTTTTGAGACAGGGTCTCCCTGTAGCCCAGCCGTCCTGGAACTCACTGCGTAGACCAGGCTGGCCTCGAACTCACAGAGATCCACCTGCCTCTGCCTCCCAAGTGCTGAGATTAAAGGTACAGTCACCACACTCATCTGTAAAACTAGGTTTTAAGTAACAGTGAAAGGTGTAAGATCTCTTTGTGTTCTTGTTCATTTTTGTTATTGTTTTTCATTTTTGAGATAGGGTCTCCCTGTAGCCGCAGCTGGCTTGGAAGTCACTATATAGACCAGGTTGACTTCCATCTCACAGAGATCCACCTGCCTCTTCCTCCTTCCTGAGTGCTGAGACTAAAGATGTGTGCTGCCACCATGCCCAGCTGTGTGTTTTTTGGTTTGGGTTTTTTCTTACGGTTTCTGTAAGATCTTTTTGACTTGGTCTCTGAGGACCATTACACATGGTGCATGCTGTATCCCTAACACTGACTGTTTCCAGCGAATACACCAAATGACAGCACTACCCAAGGTGTCACAGACGGCATTTCTTCGTGACTCATCAGGTCATTTCAAAAAAGCACCTGGTGTGTTTGTGTCTGGGACTCCAGCCTGGGCATCTCCAGCATGGCAGGGCAGTTACCATAACAGTACCACTACCTAGTAGCTTTGGACTCATGGAACACTGAATGGCTGTTAAGTTTCCATTTTTCACTTTTAAGTAGAAAAGTACAATTTTGAAACAGCAACAAATTCTGTAAGCTTGGGGTACCTGATGCCTTTGCTGTGTAACCAGCTACTTTGGGGCAGAATAAGGCAGGAGGTTAGCCAGGGCGGTCTCCTCACCTTTGTGCCCTGGCACATTGGGTCCCTGTTCCTTGGTGGCTGTTCCGTTTGTTTGCTCCATGGTCTTTGACCAAGCGGCTGTTGAAGTATGTGGGAGTTTGTGCACCTTTCAGATGTGCTCGGTAGGTGACTTGGCGGGAACACTGGCCCTCTTGTAGGAAGAGGTGTTTAATTTCTGTCATAACTGTCTTCTGTAAGAGGCTCTTGGTCTTGAAGAGCACTTCTGCTATCGTCTCAGTTTCTGCACACTCTGATGTCTGCATTCCTCTCTCCAGGTCCTACAGCCCTGTTGGCTCATGAAATAGGTTTTGGAAGCAAAGTTACAACACACCCGCTTGCTAAGGACAGAATGATGAATGGGAGTAAGTACATCCTATTGCCTTCCTGTACAAAGAGGCCGTCATGGGAATGTGACGTGGCTTACGCCATGGGTGCTCTGGGGTGTGGGATGTGACAGGATACAGTGCAGAGGGGTGCTCTGGCCACAGCATGGTGGCCCCACAGCCGAGCTTCCTCTGCAGGGATTTCTCCAGGGCTGACACCCTGCAGGGTGGCCCAGAGGAGCGCGGCAGTCTCTGTGTATGGGGCCACCGGATCCTTGCAAAAGATTATGTAAATGCCAGCTTAATTTGTGTTTTTACTGAACGCCTTGCCAGCAGCCTGAGGATAAAATTTAAGCCCTGACAGCAGTTTCACCAAGTGCCCTTTTACCTGCAGTCCACCGTGAAGTGGGCGTCCAGGGCACAGCTTAGGTGGCAGGCCAGCTTCCTGGTGGAGTGTTTCTTTTATAAATATCAGCTAGGCGTTTACTTTTTACTGACTATAAAAGCAGTTTCTCTTCATGGGGGAACACGCAGACAGAATGGAAGGGTGAAGTGAGGCCAGGCGTCTCCCTCTTCTCACCCATGTGCATAGCAAACATCTGTCACATGTCGTGTCTAACTAACTTCTCTATCCTTTTTGTTTAATACTTGTACTCAGGTTAGAGTGTTGTGAAGTTTGTCCTTTTTTCTTATTTTTGAGACGGGGTCTCCCTGTAGCCCCAGCTGACCTTGAACTCACGGAGATCCACCTGCCTCTGCCTCCCAAGTGCTGGGATTCACGGTGTGCGCCACCATGTCTGGCTCTGCAGCTCGCTTTTATTTTTGTGTTTTTGAGATGGGATCACTGTGTTGCCCGTGTTGGCATGTCCGGGGCTCAGGTGATCCTCAGCCCCCCGTAGCCAGGCGGGCAGTATGGTGGCGGCGGCAGCTTGCCCATCATCGTGGCCTCATCTTCATCTCAGGTGTTGCAGATCATCTGCTTCTGCTGGTTGTCAAATGTCCTTCGTGAGTGCCCATCCTCTGGAGCCTGGCTAACCTGTTTAACTTTCTTTTTCTTATTTATCATTTTTGTTTTATGTGTATGAGTACACTGCCTGCATGGCCATAAGTGCCCCTGGGTCTTGCAGTGTCTGTGGAGGGCAGAAGAGAGTGTCGGATTCCCTTGAACTGGAGTTGTTAGCTACCACATGGGTGCTGGAAATCCAACCCAGGTCCTCTGCAAGAGCAGCCAGTGCTTTTAACTGCTGAGCCATCTTTCCAGCCTCTGGCTAACCTATTTAATGTCACATCCTTAAAGAAGACTGCCTCCCTCTCTCCCAGGAGTTATCAGTTGCCAGTAGTTCCCT